CTAGGAAGGGGACAGACCCATAAACTGTGGAGATTGCCTTGGCTTCAGGCACACAGACAGAGGTCCCGTGCCAGCTGAGCTGCTTCCTTGCTAAGTAAGCTGGAGACAGAAAACTCTCCAGGTCTCAGTTTCCTTATCTGAGACATGTGGGTAATACTTCCTACATCACAGGATTACTGTGAAGCTGGAATGTAACACAGAGTGCCTGGTAGATGTCCAATAAGTGTTTAGTTCTAATGCCTTTTTCTTTCCCTTGGGTAACCCATGTGAACTAATAGTAATATATACTATAAGAGTATAATAATCACAAGAACTACCAAAGCAACAACAATAAATCCATACATGGTCAATGTCATTTATTTTTATATAATAATCACTACTCTGAATGCCAATCCTTATATAGATCAATCCTTTCTGTCATCTCAATCAAATTTCCCATAATACATATATGAGATTAATCTTCAGAGAACAGAGATTGTATCATTTGGAGTCTTGTTCAAAAAAATCTTCAGCGACTATGCATTTATCTTGGTAAGATAATTAAAAAATTGGCTCCCTAACAGTTTTAGTGAAGAAAATATTTCATCTCTTTAACTATCCTATAGCCATTATTCAGCAGGGTTGGTAAAAATTAGTTTAATGGAAATTCTTTATTTCTGTGTTGACATTTCCTCACCAGTCAATTATCCCTCTTTAGTACAATAGAAAATATGGGGTAATTCAATGCTGTACCCCACAGATATATATAATCAACTATGTTTCAATAAAATAAATAAGTAAAAATAAAAATACTTTTCAATTAAAAAAAAATCTAGGGTAGGGATAGGGGAATCTTCCATGTTAGGGACTCAATTCCTTTACTATTAATTTTGAGTCAAGGCTTTCACAGTACCTCAATTAATCCTCTCCAATTTGGTTGGTTTCTCTCCAAACATCTCCTGCACTTTGTTTCTTCCATTTCTTCACTGTGCAATTAATTTTGCCTGAAATACCTTAGCTTCCTATCTTAAGCTAATCAGATCCTAGCCCATCTTCTAAATCCAGCTCACCTCCAGTCTCCATGGAACTGTCCCAGACTAGTCTCTCCCACTCTCTCCTGACCTCACTGTCTTTCCACCATCACCCTCATTGGGGTACTGCTACTTTCACTGTTATTTGTTTACTGTGTGTTACTTATTATATAACTTCATTTTTCATGGTCTCCCTAACTGAATTATAAACTATTTGAGACCAGGAGCCACATACTGTGTTAGAAATGAGCATAATCTTTTGCAAACAGTTGATATTTAAATATTTGTTGCTTGGCTAAAATAGATGACACATAACAATTGAAAATTTTAAAGTTTTACTTCAGCATGAATAGCAGTGAGCACACTCTGACCGATTTCTTTCAGTGTTAAAACAGAAGACATTTCTGAAAACTCAAGACAAATTAACTATTGACATAACTTTTTCCCCTATAAAAGGTAATTCCATTTTGAAAAAAACACTTTATATAGTAATAGAATTGTACAGATGAAACAGAATTTAAGCAGGTGCTTATTAAAACCAGCTATTATTAAATAATAATAGTGTTTGTACTTTAGTCAATAAACTTATTTAACAAGTTATTCATTGAGTTCCTAGTTTGTACAAGGAACCACATGAAGATCTGCTGGGAAAAGAGCTGAGTAAAAAACTGGCCAAGTCCTCAACACCCAACACTTTAATAGAAGAAACCGATCTAACATTTTACAAAACAAAAGTTAAATAAGCAATATAATATAGCTAACCTATTGAGTACTATGTGTGATTAATCTCAGTAGGTAGGGCTCAGGAACCATCGCCAAAAAAAAAAAAAAAAAAAAAAAAGGAACAATAACATTTGAAAGTTTGAATGAGGCCTTGAAAGATAATTAAAACTTTGCTGACCAAAATGTCAGAAGGGAATTCTGGGCTGTAAGATCAGAAAGAGCAAAAGGTATAGGTATGAAACTACACTCTCACCCCATCTTTAGCTTCTCTCAGTAAGTGATCTCACCTGCTACTTCATGGGAAAAACTCACCTACATCTCAAAACATAATGACATCCCTGTCTCTCTTTCCCTTCTGTCTCAAAAGCGTCCTCATTCTTCCCCACAGCTAAGTTCTATTAATTATTGTGGACCCTCTTGCTGCTTGTCTCCTATCGGATCTTGTTCCAGTGCTCACCCTCTATTTCTCCTTCCCTTTGTGGCCAAATTTTTGAAAGAATGATCTGTGTCTGATATCTCTACCTCATCTAATTCACTGCTCAGTAACGTAAGTTTAACAAGTCTCTTAAATCTTTCACAGTGTGTTCTTTTTATTTAGTAAAATAAAACGAAATAAGAATTTAATTTCTAATTTCATCCTTTCTTTGTTTTAAAATAAGTTAATCAGTATTTCTTCTTAAAATTGGTTTGCTAATTTCAGGAAACAGAGAATGTATAGTCTCTGAGTAGGATTTCTCAGGTCCAGAAAGTAAACTATTAAACAGCTGAGATGCCATGTATTTTCAGTAAAGAACCTGTTACTGTAGCAACCAATTAGAATCCTGAACCTTAAACATGCTGTTCTCTCAACATATTTTTCCCTAAGTAGCTCTTCTTCAGATGAGAATAGGAAGCGCGCACCATTTATTTTCTTCAACAGCATAAAGGGGTTCTGTTAAGGAAATGATTTCGTATAAGCCAAAGTCCTCAATCTTTTTCAAAAGATCGGAATAAGATAAGGTTTGATATCCTGCCACTGTACTGACATAACTAGAGAAGCGATGGGGTCCTGGCCCCTGATAGATGCTCTGGTTCTCTGGCAGTTTCATTTACTAAAGGAACAATGGTGACAGTGGTTTCTCCCCTTACATGTGACAAATAGCTGGAACTCTCCATAAGGTACTTTGCTCACCTTTCTTGCCATCAAAGCCAAATTTACCAACACCCACACTGATTTGAAAAGCGCAAAGAGCCACCCATATATTACCCATATATAAACACAAGTGTTTTCATGGACAGCGAGTGTTATGCAAACTGTTCTATGAACTGTTGGGCAATATATGGATCTCAGTTCATCTTTTCGGATTTCCTTTGTAATGAACACTTCAGCTCATTAAACAACCCAGTTATCTCCCTTTATCTTTTAAAAATAAATTTATCCCACACGTACCCTTCCTTTCTAAAATGGCTCTCCTTCTGTGGTTACTAGATGTGGGAAAGAAGGGGGGTGGTTAGCAAGAAATTGGCTAATGGACACAAAGAATGATTATGTTTCATAATGAATATACTAATTATCCTGGTTTGATCATCACATATTGTACACAAGTATCAACAGTAAACTCTGTACCCCACAAATATGTATAATCAATTACATTTCAGTAAAAATAAAATAAAATGGCTCTCCTTAAAGTAAACAAAGAACGGTATCATAAACTTTTGTTCTCCTAAGAAACAGAATTTACATTCCTACCAAATGCATTGGCTATTACAGAAATTCTGTAAGTATTTGCCAATAGGCTGATTTACATTTAACAATATTGGTAATATTTCCATGAAGGCCACTGAACAAATGTTTTGGTTAAAGATCAAATAGAAATTTCTGGCCCACCTCTAACAATTGTAGGGGCCGTAGCAAGACTACAAATGGAGGCCCATATTCCATGTCTTAATTTTTAAAAGTAATAAGTTCAAGTAGTAAATAAAACATGGTTTTATCCTTCAGTCTTGACAAATATACCTTCAACTACGTGGAGGTACAGGTTCAAATTTAGAATTCTTAGACTCCTCCAAGTTCCATACCACAGTGTGGTGACATGCCAGGGCCAGCTCACACCCTTCTCCTCCTGTTTCCCAGTCCTGTGTGGACATCTTACCCACCTGAACTGTTAGCCCTTAGCCATCCTCAGGTCTAAGGGAATAATCACTGGTTTTATCCCCCTAAGGACAGACCCAGAGAAAAGGCCCATGTTGACCCTTGAGGCAGGCTCTGAGCTGTTTGGGGGCAGGAAATTCCAGAGTTTCAGTATGCAGAGGATGGAGTGGAAGGGAGTGAGGGCTTGGGGAGGGGTGGGAGGGAGGGAGTGAAGGTTGAGGCTGGTCACATCCCCTTGACATCTAGATATTTCACTACGTGGGAAACTGTGGCCAGAGGAGGGCCTTCTAATTCACAGGTCCCAAAGCAGGGCTTCTCTTGCCCAGGACTAAAAAAAACACTAGATAATTTACACTTGCCCAGGACTAAAAAAAACACTAGATGAAGAATTTACCAGATCAGTCTTATTATCAGTTAATAAACTAGTTGAAACTAAATGTACATATATGAAAAAAGATTAAGTAGGAAAATAAAACCTGAAATTCTCATCTCTAATCACTTCAGTTCCCTGCAGATCTGGAATCAAAGAGTCTAATATTTATCTGGATCTACCCTAGAGTCTAAATCTATATTCTGTGCTTTTTTTTTTTTTTTTTACAAATTCATACAAATTTACAGAATTCTATTCTCATGCTAGAGGGAGCTGAGATGACAACAAGCAGGAGAAAGAAGAGGCGAAAGAAGAAAACACGGAATATCAAAGACAAGATCAGACATGCAGATGTAAGAGAAAGCACTTCCCCGTGCTCTGCTACTTGTGTGGCAAGGCTGAGGACAGCATAATTAACCACCTGATCAAAGCCACTAGTATGACAGCTTGCTCTCACTACTGCAGATCCCGGCAGTTCACTTGCTGGTCTTGGATGCCCCTATCCTAGCCCCTGTGTACGTGGCAGGTCAGATAGAACCTGGTTGGCATTTAAGTGAGACTGATGACAGCTCTGCCTACACAGAACCTCTCACCTCACCATAATTTGCTGCACTGCAGTTTCCACTTTACTTAGCAAGAAAATGATTCTGTTAACTTGGGGGAAAAAAAACAACTAATAAAAAGTTCTCATCACAATACATAGTATATATACATAGTCCACAGGAAGGGAAGTATTTCAACTGGAAATCTTATTTAATGTACTTACTGAGATTGTACCATTGTCTAGACCTATGGACAGTCTTCTTGTTTCCGGATTAAAAGACATGCATGAACATGGAGCTGAAAAAAATGAACATGTTGATGAAATTAACAAAACGATGACTCTCATCGATTCAGGAGTGCCTAACTAGGTAAAAGTGTAGCGCTATTTTTTCCCCACTATTTCCTGCAAAATAGTTAATTTAACTCCCACTCACCAAAAAAGAAAAACAGTAATTTTACAACCAACTCCTAGTTTTTCAGTTATCCTTTTAATGAATATAACAAGATATTCTCAAACTGGGCAAAATCCAAGGGGCTTTGTCTCAGCTTGTTCTGTCAGTATTGAGTCGAAAGTTTGCTTGACTAGATGAACAATACTTTGTGCTGTGTAATCTTTCTGTCACCACTCTGTCTCTTCCACTCAGACCCCATCTTGAATAGAAATAACTTATCCTTTTTAAATTAGGGAAACAAAAGAAAGATCTCATTATCTCCCCGCCCTCTTCACCCACACACATACACATACATACACACGCTAGTACAGAAATCTATTTTTTGATTCAGAATTGATTTGGGGCATGTGACCTACCAGGAGTCTTTTACTCCTGGCATTCGGAGGGTATACGAGAGGCTGCTGATTGAAAACAAATGAGGATGTGTTTCAATCTAAAAGAGAACCAACTGAACATAGGGCTAAACACTGTAGGAAAAAGACCAGGTGAGTCAGCATACCCAGTCCTGGACTGGGACTCCCTGTTCCACAAGACTGACTGCCTGAGTACACCTGAGCCTATGTAAATTAAATATGCTCAGAAGCCACGTGTGGTTAATGAGAACTTACTAAACAGCAGCTTCCAAGCCTCTGCCTTCTTCTCTATCTACACTTGTTCCTAAGAATGGGAGCCTTTTGACAGTTTACACTGTAATAAAATAGCTGCTCTAAAGAGTCCATCACAATTTTTAAACGTCTCCCTTCAGAGTAGCCCTGTAGATCATAAACTACTTATTATCATAATCGTAATCAACATCAAATATTTTTATCCCTACTTTTCACAGTTATGATTAGAAGTCTTACCCAAGGTCAGTCACACGGGGGGAAAAAGCTGGAGAAGATTTAAAAAGATAATTCAAACACACAGTCTCATTTTCAAACACCCAACTTAGATTATCTTTAAACTATAAAAGAACTTCAAGTTCTACTGACAGAGCCAGTTCATAAACACATCACTTAATAACATTTTTTTCATATACAAGGGCCCTAAATAGAACAGAACAAAATAAAACAAAAAGACCTAAACTGCATAAAGTTTACTTTTTTTCTAATTTTCAAAGCATGATATATTCAGAAAACAGAAACATAAAAAAGAATTTTCTCCCAAACTTCCACCAGTACAGCAGACTATCTTCTTTCTATTTAGCCACAAAATGAAACTAGATTCCCAAAAATACACTGATGAAAAAAAGCAATCAAATGACACTTAATGCAATGCCCTAAGAAAATCAGTTTTACTTGCCCCTTGGCCTATAAATTATGTTGGCACAGTTTCTACACAAATGCTAAGATGCCAAGTCTCCTAATTCCATGACATTTGTGCAGAATTAAAATCTAATGATTTCATGGAAAATTGTCATGTTAGTTGAAAAAAATCAAAAGGAAAAAATTCTGATTATGTAAATTCTATTATGTAAAGCACACACACACATAAAAGTATACATGGAAAACTAAGCATAGTTCTTGTGTTCAAGTGATGAGATTATTTTTATAACACTGTCTTTAATCTTATTATTTGGCTGTTCCTATTAAAATTGATATTAAATGTCTAATGATTTATTAAGATGTAGGCAGGAGCATATGAAGCAAAACTTGATTGTGGCCCCAAGGGGCTACATACTGGCCAACACCTTTATCATTTAGCTGCCTGCCTGATCTAGAGGTATTTTCTATGTGATTTTCTCCAAAGTTCATATCTGGTTATGCTATAGTTAGAAAACCCACTGATCTCTGAATGTGATTTAAAAGACTTTCATCAACACTGCATATTACACTGCTATTTATTTCTTGTTTTTCCCTCATTTGTTATATTTCTCATTATTCTTTCAACAAAAAATTTAGAATGTTTATTACTTTCTATGCATGTGATACAATGATATAAAAGGTATTATTGCCATCAAGAATTTTATGGCTTGTGATCCCAACCGTATACGGAAACTTGTAAGAATCAATCTCACCTCCTCAGTTCAAATCGCTTTATGTATAGTAAGAAACTACCACCAGAATTTAAAAGCAAAAGACCTTTCCTATAAAAGAGCAAAAAAAGATATTTTCTTAGAAATCCTGCTGTTCTGGAACCCAGATGCCTGAACCCAAGATGTTCTAGACAGGTGAGTGCCAGAGCTAGAGAGCATTAGCTCCCAGCTTCCCCCAGAGGAACAACCCCCCCTTCAAAGAGGCATTATGGAAAAACACCAGGCAAACCTGTGTGTGTGTGCACGAGCATGTGCGTGCATGTCTGTCTGGGGAAAGACTTTTGATAAGTGAGCCTTAGGATACTCCTCAAACCATCTCCCAACTGTGACACTCTCATAGGAACAGGCCTTGGGTTGGTTACCCATAGTCCCTGGCAAGGCTGAGGAGGCAGGGAGTGGACTCAAAAGAATACTGATGCCCAGACTTGTTGTTACAGCAAACATCTTTCCTTCTAGGGGTCCGAGGAGTAGACAGATTGACAAAGAGAGCCTTCTAACCTCAATGCATGAGAAATTAACAAAAAAGCAACTCTGGAAGACTAGCACTATGGCCTATACAAAATGGGCTCCTAGCCATGCAAAAGAAATATCAAAGTGGCAAAACTGTCTGGGGAAGGAATAATGAGACACAGTAAAGTAAAGGTTATTATGGCCAAATGGTAAAGGGAATCCTTCAGCAGGAAGAATAAGGGGGGAGACAAGCAAAATGTAATTTAAGCACATTATTTGTAACTAGTTTGCAAAAACATGATGCTTCACAAATAAGAACTGCTTTAAATGCTGTGAAACTAATAACTCATAAGGCAATAAAGAAATAATTGGTCTCTCTTATGTATGAATGTGCAAGTTAGAGACGAACTGGCTGGGAAGGCTGTTCTATTCTCTCAACTTGAAGTTTCTTTCTTCAAAGGGTGAGTGAAGTGGCTGATCAGAACTATAAAAGTTTAGGGGGCCGGCCCGTGGCTCACTCGGGAGAGTGTGGTGCTGATAACACCAAGCCAAAGGTTAAGATCCCCTTACCGGCCATCTTAAAAAAAAAAAAAAAAAAAAGAACTATAAAAGTTTAGTACAGCTACCCTCTATTGACTTCCTCTATCCAAATTGCATGAAATCAATACAGCATGATACAAAATGTGAAGATACATTTATTCCCCTGCCTTTAAATGCTTCCCCATGAGAAAGGATAACCACACAGAGTAAGCTTTGTAGGGTGACCCCCATATGCCAACGCCTCTCACATACACCATGCTACATGTAATTGGCCTGAGACTGCTCCTACACTAACCCAACAATGGAAATTCAAGGCAAGCCACTGGTCTTGTTGATGTTATATTCTAGCTTCCTACATTTTCCCCAATGTTTTCATTAAAATGTGGGGGGGCGGGGGAATGACACAGTTTCTCGATAAAATAGTACAGAACTCACTTTCCATGCTATCTGAGTAAGATTTCCCATCCACCTTTTCTATCTCAGACTGATGATAGTCAAAAGAAATGTACTGGCAAAATTTTAGGAAGCAATGAAAGGTACAAATAAAACAAAAGAAATTTGTGCAGGTCTATGGGTAATGGGACCTTTTATTCTTTTATATTAGCATCAGAACTTCAGATCTTGACAGCCTGTCAAAGTATCACCTTTACAAGTAAACACTTTTATACTACGAGTGTTTGGTAAAATGAAGTTTTTGTAACTTAAGGCAAGTATTCAGCTTAAAGTTCAGAGAAAACTAAAATAAAGAGAAGCTCCAGTATGGGTGATTATATTAACAACCACATAATTAGAAGGGGGAAAAGCTCAAGAGATATGAGCCCTAGACAAAAGCAACTCAAGAGACCAACATCAACCTCAACAGTCTATAATTAAATGGATTAGAGAGAAAGTGGCTACTTGTATTTCTAATACTTTTATCCCACAATTGGTATAAAAAAAATTGCCGTTGCTTAAAAAAAACTTTAGTTGAGAGGAAGCATTCTCAAAATATTTCTCTATGGGGGAAAGTTTCCTAATTTCTATTACTTACACCTATAATTCTCTCATTTTATGACTAATTTATTTTCTGTCCTTTGCTGACCGGTTGAACTTTGCTCAAATAAACACAAGTTTCATTGAAGGTCAAGCCATGGATTTCAATCACACTGACTGCTTTACAATCCTAAAGGCATTATTTGGCAGGAGACACTAATCTTTCTCATGAGATGTTCTGGTTGGAACTTGAAAACTAAATAAACAATGGTACTTTCATGAATAAAACTTAAAGTTTAAAGGAATCATGGTGAAGTTAAATGTCAGGATCCCAGGATAAGAGGGCCTTCAATAGAGCCTCCAATGAGCAATGCACCTCCCACAAAGCAAAAATTTAATTAATGAACACTATTTCATTCAGCCCTGTTTGTCATAGGATAATATTTATCAGATTTGCAGTACTCAACCCATGCTTTATTTCAGTAAGCATATCTATATTTAGGATTTCGATTACCTAGCACTAAAAAGCATTTTTCATTTAAGTCAAACATTTTATGCACTCTGCTGAAATTAGCCATTTTGTTTTCTTTTACTCTAGACTGAATATCAGCAAAGTTACAGTGAATTAGAAATGGTCACTTTTTCTCTTAGGCACGTTCTAAGTTAAAGTAAAGTGACGTAACTATGGTAAATTTTAAAATGCCCTGTCAAATGGAAATCAAACAAGAGTAAGCTAAGTAAATGCTGTACTCACTCAGATTAATTAATACTTGATATCTTTAGTTTGAATAATCTACGTTTTCCTTCATTTTCACTAAAAATCAAAAGTTCCTTGGGTACATTTTCTTCTTAGTAAATACAGAATTAAA